TTGAGGATTAAAGTACGCTTGCCCCAAGCCATGGTATTTTCAATAACCTCATACACATGTGAAAGTTGGACAGTGAATAAGGAAGACCATAGAAGAATTGATGCCTTTGAGTTATGGTGTTGGCGGAGAATATTGAAAGTACCCCGGGCTGCCAAAAGAACAAACAGATCTGTGTTGGAAGAAGTACAGCCAAAGTGTTCCTTGGAGTCCAGGATGGCCAGACGTTATCTCTCATACTTGGGACATATTGTCAGGAGGGACCAGTCACTGGAGAGGGACATCATGTTTGGTAAGGTGGAGGGTCAGAGAAAAAGAGGAAGACCCCCAGTGAGAAGAATTGACAAAGTGGCAGCATCAATGGGCTCAAGCTTGGCAACAATTGTGAGATTAGTCCAGGACCTGGCTGTATTTCATTCAGTTGTGCATAGGGTCACTGTTAGTCCGTACTGACTCGATGGCACCTAACTACAATAACAGGTGACATAGTTTCTAAAATGCTCAGCTTCTAAGCAAAAGGTCTGTGATTCAAATTCACTATCTACTCCAAAGGATAAAGATGGTGGTTGTCAATTTCTGTAACTATTTATAGCCTTGGAAACTTTATGGGACAGCTCTATTTTGTCCTGTCAGGTACTATGACTCAGAATCTGTTTGGATTTCTAAAAATTATTTTAAAATTATTTTTCATTTTTATACTATATAATTAATGTATAATACAGGTAATATAAAATTAAAATTGAAAGGCTTACTGTGAAAAGTAAACTTCAATTTCTGTTCTCTGCCAATTTACCTTCTTCAGGGAAAGCAAGGTAATTCATTTGTAAATTACAGTAATTAAAAAATGGTTATAATACTGATCAAAAGGGGGGGAAGTATATAGTAAGCATTAATGTATAAAAAACTATAAGACCAAACCCAATACCATAGGTTCACATTCTCATAGAATCCAAACTTTCTGGAACCATGGAGGCTGGATGAATCCCTGGGACTATTGCCTTGAGATAATCTTTAAATATTAGACCTTAATATTAAATACTCAAGTATTAAACCAAAAATACTTCCTGAAGTCTTCTTAAAACCAAGCAATAATTTAAATGTACTAATAAAGGTTGTCTGCTTTGAGCATTGTACTCTTTTGAGATCCATCTACAACAAATCAAATTGGCAACAGCAACGCAAAAGATTAGCTCAAAAACTTAGGGGGTGGTGAGCTTGTGTTCGTGAAGGAGGAGCAACTCAGAAAAGGAGGCTGAGAATGGTTACACAAC